CAAGCAGAACAAGTGTGCTAGCTCAGGTTTCTCTGGCCCTTTTATAAAGCCATTATTCCATCCCGGGAGTCACCCCCACCCCCTCAGACTTCATCCAATCCTAATGACTTCCCCAAGGTCCGCCTCCAGATGCCATCAATATGTGGATTTCCAAAGCATGAACTATTGGTAGACCTATTAAATCATAGCTGCCATCCAAATGCTACCCACATTTACAGATGCTGCGATCTGGTGGTATTTTAATGTGGCAATTACACAATACAGTTATTAGTCAGGCGGCCTCCACCCCTGCAAACCATCACTCCTCCATACCCAGCATCTGGAAGTTAATTTATATCATCCTCGTGCAAACCTATGGACTTGAACTGCAAACACCCACGTGTATAAACACTATCCATATGCCTAACATTGTTTCCCAGGGTTACAGTTTTGTTTTCAAATGGAGCATTGAGGCATAGTAGTTATTTTGTAGTGAGGCTTGGTGCTGGTCCTTCCTTGACATTTCAGAGATCTTGAGCCACAGGGAGGTCTGTTAAGATACTGGTTGCAATGGTTCAGTCAGTAATGTACTTTGCTACACAAGTGGGAGGACCCGAATCTGATTCCCAGAGCCCACGTTAAAGAGCTGGGTACAGTGGCACACTGTATGGCTCCGGGGTAGGGGGGTGTAGGGGGGTGGACCTCGGAGGGCTTCTGAGGTTTGTTGACCAGTCAGGCTAGCTCAGTCAACAGCCCCAGACCAATGAGAAATCAAGGTGGACAGCACCATATTTGTGTACACACACACCCTGCTGGCTGTGTTAATTCCAGCACATTTTCGTTGAGCAAGGATGAGAGCTTTGAGGCAGGGACTCAGGGTGGGCTCAGACATCTGTCCCTCATCTCTCCCTCAAGCTTCCAGCATCTGACTAGGGAGGAACCTGGCATATGCACTGCTAAGGTGGCAGGGGGTGTAAGAACAATATGTATGAACCTGGTGGAGGTTTGTGGGAGATTGGTTCCTGTCACTGAGGTCAGGAGCAGAGGAGGGAACCTGCTAGAGCAAGGTGGCTCCTCTTCTTAAACCTGTTGAGTTTGAAGAAGCCACAGGTAGCTGGTGGGAAAAGGTCAAGAGGCAAGTGGCTACTCCCCAAGTTCAAGCCTGAAATTTGACCCAGAAACCCTTCCCTAGTAGCATTGAGTGGGCTTTCATCTGGGGAGCTCCAGTGGTTTGAATTCGAGATCCCTCCCTACCCCATCGGAGCTCTTGTTCCCCAGCTGGTGGCATTCTGGGAAAGTTGGGGAACCTTCAGTAGGGGGAGCCTTGCTGGAAGAAGTGTGTCACGGGTGAGCCCTGAGGGTTTACAACCCAGCCCAATTTGCTGTTGTCTCTGATTCCTGACCGACTGGGGACATCTTGCCCCTGCCATTGTGCCTACCCCACGGTGACAGGCTATATGTCCTCAAATCTGAGTCAAAATCAGTTGCCTAAGTTGCTTCTCGTTGGCTCTTCGGTCTTGGCAGGGAGCTGTGTGGGAGCTCCGGGGCAGCCCCATTTGAAATAGAAACATGTCTCCAGCTCCCAGAGTTCTACAAAGCTACCACAGGACTAGCTATGATGAGACCGCAGTTCCTCCAATCGTAATTGCTTCCAAAACTCTACCTTCAGATACCACTAACATGTGGCTTTCCAAAGCATGAGCTCATAGCTGACATCCTAAATGATGGCAGGATTTAAATCCTCTCTGAAGGGAATCTCTTCCGAGACTTCACCACCCCCAAATGCCCTCCCAGACTGCTGAGCTTTTCTGTAGTTTTCCCCTGCCTTTCCTGGACTTGATGGAGGCACATGTGTGACCTCGTGGATCCTTCCTTTCCCAGGCTTTTGTCTGGGATCCTAATCTTCAATCTGTCTGCAGCAAAGGGGTTTACACTCAAATGAAACCACATGGGCCGTTTGCTGCTGTGGCTTGCTGCAGCCCCGCCTGGGGCCACCCCCCGTCAGCAGCTGGCTGTTAGCAGAAAAGCCTCTTTCTGCATTAGGGACAGATGCTTGCATCCACTTCCAGGCCCCAGGTCAGAGCCAGCAAGCTGTCCTCTGGGGTGCCTCTGGGGAGATCTGGGGTGGCCAGCACCATCACTGGTATCCGGAGACTTAGGACTGTAGGATGGCTACGGCTGGGTGACTGGTATCTTCCAGTGTCTTTGCCTTGTTTTGTTTGTTTGTTTTTAGGTAGTGTCTTATGTAGCTCACAATGGCATGGCTAGAGACAGAACGCAGGACTTCATGCATGCTAGGCACATTTTCTAACACTAAGCTACATCTTCAAGCACAATTCTCCACTTTTTCTCTCACTCCTACTCCCTCTCCTTTTCTTCCCAGGCCTTTTACTCTTATTTCCCTGGTCTCCTCCTCATTCGCCTTTTCACTCTACGTGTTTCTCTTGCTCTCATTCTAATAAATACAATATCCTGAGCCCCTGTCATTGCTTCCTGTCTGCCTACCCCCACTTCTTCCCTTCACCTTGTTTCCTGGTCTATTGTCGGGCTGACGCCCACACTGCATGACCTTTGACCTTCATCCCTCTGTGTTGTACAGGATCTAACAGACTCTTTGGGGCCTCTAGATGACTGCGTCCTCCGGACAGACCCACACTAGGCTGGCCAGTGGGGATATCAGCAGGGTTAACAAGCCCAGCCACCGACTTCCCAGGGAGCTGGTGGTGAGATGGGGTCTGAGAAGACAAGAAGGAAGGGACACCAGACACCTAGCACAGGAACCCATGTCCTAGAGCCTTCAATCAACTCACAGGACACAGATGATCCTAAACAGGGCTCAGGCCTGGAGTAAACAGTCAGGGCTCAGAAACTATTCCACTCCCGCTTACTCAAGGGATCACATGTCCAAAGTCAGACCCTTAGCAGCATGCAGGCATGGAACTGACCCTGCTGCTCAGGCATTCACTTCGTTTCTGGGCTGGCTGCAGTCAGAAGGTTACTCATCACTGCCTGATACTCTAATGCATAAAATAGGTAATTTTAACTTGAGCTTAGCTGGGTTTTGTTCATGGGTTTTTTATTATTATTACTTCAAATAATTAAAGCTTGGCTTGAACACCTGATGGCTGAAACTGCACACTTCTTCCTTTTTTAATTGTAATTTTTTTCTTCACAATTTATTCATTATATATCCCAATTGAAGAACCCTCCCTCAACTTTCCCTAGTTCCACCTTCCCTCCCTCTTACCCCCTATCTCCTTCCCTATTCGTAATAGCCAGAATCTGGAAACAACCAAGACGTCCCTCAACAGAGGAATGGATCCAGAAATTGTGGGTTTTATTCATGTTTACTTCTGATACTTCTGAAATGTTTCCTCCAAAGTCCAGAGTGCTATGTGATAGTCACAGGACAATGGAAGCACACAGGGAGCCTTAGCTTCAGTTGAGTTCAAGTCCACTTCTCTGCACCCTGGGCTTCTAGGGCCACCCAACTCTCTCTCTTTCTCTCTCTCTCTCTCTCTCTCTCTCTCTCTCTGTGTGTGTGTGTGTGTGTGTGTGTGTGTGTGTGTGTGTGTGTGTGTGTGTGTCTGTGTCTCTCTCTCTGTCTTTGGTCACAAACTGGCTATTATTAGATTTGCCCATTGTGGAGAGGGGGAAAAAAAACACTCAGAATACGAAAATGTGTGTCCTACTTTGACACAACTGGAAACCATTATAGAACTTGAATCCTTCACATTAAAAAGGGAAGTGGTGGGGCATGCCATACAGAATCCACTTGTGCACCCTAGTCACACGGAAGTGTGAAGGGGAAGCTAAAGAGAGCTTGCTTCCTCGGCACAGGTGGTTTCGATTTTGGAACCTGAAAACCTGTGCCTGCAGATGTTGGACCTTCGGTTTTGCTTCTGATAAAAAGTTGAAGTGCTCTCTCTCCACTGCTGCAGAGCACCTCAGCATTCCCACTTAACCCTGCTGCCTCCATTGGCTCACCTGGGAATCTCAGCTCTCCAGCTGCTGGGTCCCTCAGTACACACTGTGCAAAACCCGCCTCTTCCCCATCAGAATGAAGTGGGCTGCCGTTCTGACAGCATGAGTTAATCATGGCTTGAAATACGGGCAAGCAGGGGATGTTTGTATTCCCTGGAGACAGCTTAACGACTCTGGATAAATATTCCAGTCCAACTGACTGCCTTCGCCAAGCCTTCATCCCTACCCCACCACACACAAACTTCCTTCCCAAAACCCAGGGTGAGCCAAAAGCAATGTACTGGGTCCCCAGTAATTCCTAAAATAAACATTATACTTCCAAATACTTGGCCATAACTGTTGTTATTCTGTAACATACACACACACACACACACATGGTTTTATATATATATATATATATTCATTCAAATAATAACCATAATATAATATACATAAACATGGTTTTATATACATGTATATATGGTAATACACACATGTGCACATTTGGCTCTAATTGTAGACTTACATAGTGGCAATATGACTGTTTCTGCCCTCAAGATCCAGAAAGATTCCTTTTTTCATGTGTGTATGTGTCTCTGCAGTGTATATGGGTTTGCATGTATGTGGGCTCACTTATCAGAACCTGTACGTGTGTGCGTGTGTGTGTGTGTGCGCGCTCATGCCCACACATATGAAAGAGGCCAAAGGTCAGCATCAGTGTCTTCCTTGGTCATTCTCCTTACTGTTGAGACGGAGTCCCTCACCTGAACCCAGAGGTGGCTGACTGGGCTCGTCTAGCTAGCCGGCGTACTCCAGGGATCCTTTTTCTAGCTCCCCCAGCACCACGATTGCAGACAGGCACCAGGCTTACCCGCCGAGCCACATCTCCATTCCTAGGCCAGATTGCTTTTAAAATAAATCTCAGTCTTGGTGTGTCACAGGTCTAAGATTCAGCATTAACCAGTTCTATCTCTGAGCCCAGAAGCCGTTACACGAGGTTCTGACCTACCAGGCAGGTCATTTCACTAATTCACTTCCTGCTAATGTCCTCCCTTTAGAACAAGAAATTCTACTTGAATATCATTCACACATACATGGAGGTACACGCCACCGTTTATGGCTCCAGCACGAAGAACATTCCCAGTTACGTGAAAAATCACGGCATTCTCAGCGGACGTGACCTGCAGTTTCTTCTCCGGGAAACCAAGGTAACTTCTTAGAGATCTATAAAAATTCACATGGTTTATGGGGGTTTTCCCCTGGTGTGGAAAACGGGAGTTTTTACACGTGGTTTTGTGCTTCAAGTGTATCTGTATATTGGCTGTAAAGGAGAAAGACCCATGCTGGACATGATGGTTCAAGCCTGTAATCTCAGCGCTTGAGACTTAAAGGCTGAAGATCAGGAGTTCAAAGTCACCCTCAAATATGTAAGGAGTTTGTTGCCAGCCTAGGATGCATGAAGCTCTGTCTAAGCTTTAAGCGGCGACCAGGCAGTGATATCCTAGAGCAGCTATTGGGATAAAAGGGGGGAGGGGAGTAATAAATTGTAAATTGTGGCTGCTTCAAGTTTGACTTGCTAAGTGGTGGCATTTCCCTGATGTGCACAAGGCTTTGGGCTCTGTTCCCTGAACCTCAAGAAATTTAACAACCCATGTTTATGGAGAACTTTTCTTGTGCTGAACAGCAAGTAAGGAGCTGAGAGTGGAAAGGTGATGCCCCGCCATGTCCAAGGATGACCTTCCGATAGGGTCACAGAGGCCACAGTGGCTGCTGCCATTCAAGGAATCAGGTCCCCCAGGTGCTCTCCACCAGCCCTTCCTCAGATGAGGACAAGGGGACCAACTCCAGGAGCACTGTAGGGGTGTGCAGAAGACCATGAGGAGGCAGATTCAGGGAGCCAGGTGACATCTCAGGAGAGAACTAAATCTAATACACCTAGACTTGCTGTTAGCATATGACGTGATGAGGAAGTGCGGTCTGCCTGTAACAGGTACAGGCAGAGTTCACTGTGGCATAGGTGGTTGGGCTACCACTGAGGATTACTTATTTGTGTGTGTATGTGTGTGTACATGTATGTGCATTCATGTGGAGGCCAGAGGTCAGTCTTGGGTATCCTTCCTCAGGTACCGTTGACTTCGTGGGGTTTTTTTATATTTATTTTATTTCACATGTATGTATGTGTTCCTGAGGACCATAAGTACACCATGGGCATGGAGGACAGAGGTCAGAAGAGTGAGGTGAGCCGAGATGTGGGTTCGGGGAGTGGACCAGGTTTTCCACAGGAGCAGTGAGAGCTCTTAACGCTGAGCTATCTTTCCAACCCATATCTTGGGCTTTGTTTGGTTGATTGGTTGATTTGGGGCTTTTTAGACAGAATTTCTCGCTTGCCTTGAGCTCACCAAATAGGCTGTCTGGATGGGAGCACACGAGCTCTGCCTGTCTCTGCCTCCCCGAATTAGGGCCGAAAGCATGCACTACTGCGCCCCACTTATTTTACGTGGGCTCTGGGGGTGAATTCGGGCTTGAGCATGAGCGCTTGACTAGCCGAGCTGCTTCCCCAGCCCAGGAGTTTGTCTTCAGTAGGTGCATCTGGCAGTAGCTGTGGAGTGAACAGAGCTCACACCACTGTGGGTTCTAGACATCTGGGCTTTTCATGGTAAACTGAGACCATGACATGGAGGAGGCTCCAACCCCTGAGGCTTACTGGTTGGGAACTAAAGCGCTGCTGGGCCTTTGACATAGCATCTTCATAAACACCCACACTTCAGAACACTTAGTGATGGCTCATAGGGTAAAGTGCCTAACCCCCAAACATGAAGACCAGAGTTTGGATCCCCAAGACCCACCTAGACAGACTTGGCAGTGCTCATCTGTAATTCCCGCGCTTCTGTGGCAAGATGGAGGGAGAAGCAGGAGAGCACCCACGAGCTGACAGGCTGGCCAGCCCCGTGGGCTGCAGTGCACATGGGATTCAGTCTCCAACAGACTCGAGGACCTACACCTGAGTGTCCTCTGACCTCCATACGTCCACACCTGCAAACACACACATACAGCAGTTTTTATTTTGCTTATTTACGTTTTTGTTTGGTTTTGTCTTTGAGACAAGGTCTCTACATAGCCCTGGCTGTCCCTGGAATTCACTATGTAAACAAAGCTGGCTTCACACTCACAGACATTCACCTGCCTCTGCCTCTTGAGTGCTGAGATTAAAGGCGTGTGCCTCCATGCTGGGCCCCAAAAAAACAAACAAACAAAAAACAGTTTTTAAGTCGGGGGGGTAGGAGCCGCAATACAGCAGCGCTGCTCATGCCCGAGGATCAGAGTTTGATTCCCAGAACCCACAAAAAGGGGTTCTGGGAAAGAAACTGAGAACTAAATCCCCCAAACCACCCTTTGACCCCCACTTACATGTGCTGGCATGAGAGCACCCACACTTACACACACACATCACTTACACAACAATGCGAGTCATCTTATAAACAAAGTTCACGACTGCTTACCAGTTGAAAGGGTATCTGATTTCTGACTCAGTTTCTCAACCTACAAACACAATTGATGCTTTTTGCCTCCGAGTCATTCGTGTGATCTTGATAATTTTTTTAACTCTCTGACTGGAAAACCTGGGCTTCTCTTCATGAGGACTTCAGTTCCTTAAAGGCCCGCCGTCCTCTGCCGACCGCCGTGGCTCCGTGAGTGAGGAGTGCCCCAGTTTCTCTGTTCTCTTCCCGTCATTTTCTGTCCTAGTTTGACATTTTCCAGTCTCCAGGATGTCCGGACCCTATCACAGCACCAATCCTCTTTTCTGCCATTTGCCTTACTTTCGTTTTCTCCAGTGAGATCCTACTGAAAGTTCAAGTTCCTTTAAAATAACACCACGGCAGCGCTTGTCTCGCAGCGTGTCATTACCGTCTCACATGCTTCTATTCACCCAACCTCGTGAACGTCTTCCTCAGCCCTGCAGATTTTAAAAACACTCTCATTTGCCTACCATCCTTTTACCTTGTCAGACAATGGGAAATGGGCCAAAATTGAGGTCCATCCTGAGGAAGACAAGAAAAAAGCCCCTGCCACCCAGCTATGATGTTGGAGTAGGCCAATCAGCCAAGAGCGCAGCTTGAGCTTGAGCTTATTACGCTCACCTGTGTGTGCGTGCGCGTGCACAATAAAGATATATATCCTTAAATATATGTTTTTATATGTAATCCTTATATATCCTTTAAAAAAGGAGATACATAAGCAGGTGTTGGAACTAGAGAAATGGCTTAGTGGTTGGGCACATGCTGATCCTGCAAAGGGCCGGGGCTCAGTTCTCAGCACCTATACCAGGCACACCACCTCTTAACTCCAGTTGCAGAGGATCGAACCCCCTCTTATGGCCTCTGTAGGTACTGCAAGCATTGATACAGAGATAAACAGGTATATACACACATAAACATTTTAAGTAATTAATTTAAAACTGATGCCCTATGATGGTGCTCAGGTGTAATTATTTATCTCCTGTTTCTCTGAGAAGAATATATTAGGTGGTACATGCTGTCTTTCTTTTAGGCCCCAAGTTCATTCCCAGCACTCACATTGGGCCACTGACACCCACCTGTTCCAAAGGATCTGATGTCCCTGGCCTCCATGGGCACCTTCATTCATGTGAAAACACACATACATGCATGCACCCACACACACACACACACACACACAGCTACACATAATTTAGAATACAAATAAATCTTAAAGAATATGTTAAACCACTCCATGTGGAATTGTGGCTCAAACTGTTGGCAGATAGGAGGAGCATGGAGCGGTATATGTCCAAGGCTCCCCTTACATTGAGAGCCCAGCAGTAGGCAGCTGAGATGAATGAATCTTGAGTTTGGAAATATGACACAGACTAGCCTGGCTTTGCATTCAGATCCTTTCCCGCTTCTCACTCCATCTGTACCTCTAAGCAATTTCAAAGCGATTTATTCCCATCCATGTTGGAAGTAAAGAGCAGGAGCTGCCAAAGAGAAATGTCTGTAAAAGTGAGTAGACTCTCCTCAGGCTCAGCTAAAGAGGAGAGCAAGCCTGGCCTCCTTTCCCCATATCTTCAGAGAGAGAAAAATGGCTGGTGTTCGGGTCACTCTGCAGCTCATAATGTTTGTTAATGAGCCATCTTTGGGTTTGGTATTGCTTTGGTTTGGCTCCTTCCGTGCCGGGGTTGAACTCAGGACTTAGCTCATGCTAGGGCAAGCGTGCTGCCCTATGCGCCTCCCCAGCCTGTAAGCCAGCTTTGAAGTGCTGCATCTAGTCCACAGCACAGTTATATAGACCTCTGTCTGAGCCTGCCTTTTAGAGCCCGGGCCTCAGAGGACAGTGGGATGTTGGTGGGGGTGGAGATTGGAGCATAAAGTGCTGGGAAGTTGCTATAATCTAGAAACCACTTCTAACAGAGCCATAAATGTTGATAAACTATTTGTTTATCTGAAAACCACAGGCAGGCCATTTGGTCTACCAAACTCCAAAAGAGGAGTTGGAGCCTGCGTATCGTGACACACTAGGGCAGCATATTTTACATTTTGGTTTAATTCTCCATCTTCATTAATGTGGGTTTTCTTCACCTTCCTAGTTTCTGGTGTGTGTGTGTGTGTGTGTGTGTGTGTGTGTGTGTGTGTGTGTGTG